AAACTTTGGGGGTCTTTCGGGGAGAGGCTTGAGCAGCCACGGTCCAAATTTGGAGGCTCTACCCCCTCCCCCCCAGCCCCCCGCAAAGTTTCAAGAGGTTTTTTGCCATTGACTTCAATGGCCCCATTGGTTATAATGGACCCGAATTTTTTCGGGATTTTTTTTCGGGATTCGGGAAAATGCATAGGAAGCCATTTCGGGATTGCAAAAGCCAAAAAAAGCCGAAAAACGTTATTTTCGGCTTTTTTTTCGGTTCGGGATCCCGAAATGCACATCCCTACCCTTCACTACCCAAAGGTGTCTCAGAGCGGCTTACAAACTCCTTTCCCTTCCCCTCCCCACAACAGACACCCGGTGAGGTGGGTGAGGCTGAGAGAGCTCTGACAGAAACTGCTCTTTTTCAAGGACAGCCCTGACAGAACTAATGGCTTGCCCAAGGTCATCCAGCCAGGTGCAAGTGGAGGAGTGGGGAATCAAACCCGGTTCTCCCAGATTAGAGTCAGCGCACTTCACCACCACACCAGACTGGCTCTCTTTAATTACATAAATGTCCAGTATTACTACTTTCGGAGCAAGAGCCTTGATAATTGTACGTAGAAGCCTCTGGCTTCGTCGCAGGACTTGTGATCGTGTTTAGAGTCTTGCATTTTAAAACGCTGCTCTAGCCCCTATGCCCAGGCCTGGATAGCCCAGGCTAGCCCGGTCTCGGTAGATCTCGGAAGCTAAGCGGGGATGGGAGGGCCACCGAGGAAGCCCAGGGTCACCGTGCAGAGGCAAGCGGTAGCAAACCACCTCTGAAGGTCTCTTGTCTTTCAAGCCCTGTGGGGTCGCCATGACTTGTTTGGGCGGGGGTGTGTGTGTGTTGTTTATGGCCAAGAGGCACCTTCAGATATGACCATAAATGGTGATCTGTGTATCTGGGGCCTGCAGAGCTTTTCCCTACCTGCTTTGGTAGGGAAAAATGGCTTAAACATTTGGAGCAGAGGCCCATCAGTGGCTATGAGCCACAAGGTATAGATAGGAACGCTCAGTCTGGGGCAAGGGATGCTCTGTCTTCTTGGTGCTTGGAGGGGGGGCAAGAATGGGAGGACTTCTAGTGTCCTGGATCCACTGGTGGACCTCCTGATGGCACCTGGTATTTTTGGCCACCGGGTGACAGAGTGTTGGACTGGAGGGGCCTTTGGCCTGATCCAACATGAACTTCTCTTATATTCTTATATGGAGCAGAGGCCCATCAGTGGCTATGAGCCACAAGGTATAGATAGGGACTCTGGGGCAAGTGATGCTCTGTATTCTTGGTGCTTGGGGGGGGGGCAACAGTGGGAGGACTTCTAGTGTCCTGACCCCGCTGCTGGACCTCCTGATGGCACCTGGTATTTTTGGCCACCGTGTGACAGAGTGTTGGACTGGAGGGGCCTTTGGCCTGATCCAACATGGGCTTCTCTTATGTTCTTATATGGAGCAGAGGCCCATCAGTGGCTATGAGCCACAAGGTATAGATAGGGACTCTGGGGCAAGTGATGCTCTGTATTCTTGGTGCTTGGGGGGGGGGCAACAGTGGGAGGACTTCTAGTGTCCTGACCCCGCTGCTGGACCTCCTGATGGCACCTGGTATTTTTGGCCACCGTGTGACAGAGTGTTGGACTGGAGGGGCCTTTGGCCTGATCCAACATGGACTTCTCTTATGTTATAGGGAGCAGAGGCCCATCAGTGTCTATGAGCCCGAAGGTATAGATGGGGGCTCTGGGGCAAGTGATGCTCTGTATTCTTGGTGCTTGGGGTGGAAAAAAAGGTGGGGGGGGGGGAAGAATAGGAAGACTTATAGTGTCCTGACCCCGCTGCTGGACCTCCTGATGGCACCTGGTATTTTTTTGCCACCGTGTGACACTGAGTGTTGGACCGGAGGGGCCATCGGCCTGATCCAGCCTTGGCGTCTCTGATGTCCTTATGGTGATACTGTCCACGTTATAAAAGCAGCAGGTGTAACCGCTGCGTGCCACAGACTGTACGAGAGGCGAATGCGTGTCTCTTTGCCTCTTGGCTTCTAAGCAGAGCGTGTGACTGGGTGGGGATGATGTCGGCCATCAATCCAAGAAGCCCTTAAAAGCCCCCCCCCCCCAAAAAAAAAGTGTAGGAGGAATTGATGCTGATGACCTACACGTTTCTCCCTCTCCGCAACCCCTGTAGGACATGGTGTGCTACACAGCTCAAACCCTGGTCCGCATCCTCTCTCACGGGGGCTACAGGAAGATCCTCGGGCAGGAAGGAGACGCCAGCTGTGAGTAGGAACTCTTAGGGGATTAGTGGGGGGGGGAGGGGGAAACCTGGCAGTGCTGGTGGGGGGGCGGGCCTGTCTTGAATGTCCGCATTTACTTCTAGGTGAGGTGAGCAGGAGGTGGGGAAAACATAGTTAAGGGTCGGTTCCGGTGGGTTGGTCTGAAGCAACAGAACAAAGTTTGGGTCCAGCGGCACCTTTTAAGACCGTCAGGGTTTGATTCTGGGTACCAGCTTTTGTGTGCATGCATGCTGTGTCCAGAATAAAACTTATTTGGGTCTTAAAGGTGCCACTGGACACAAACTTTTTGTTCTATAGTTAAGGGGTGTGTGTGTGTGTGTTGTGTATGAAGCAAGATGGACTGTCCCTTGGCTCTCCAGCCCTCAGACAAAGCAGAGCTCATCACTTTGCTGGTGCGTAAAATCCGACCCACCTTTGGATACCTTGCCAGTGTATCCAAGACTTCTGGGGTATATGTGGCCTTTCAAAATGAACTTGTGGGGAAGACCCCCCCCCCCCCCCGGGGAGGAGGAAACTTAAGGGTTATTTAGGGCCATGAAGGCTTATTCAGTGATCTTCCTTTTCCTCCTGTCTGTTGGACTTAACAGTGGTGGTCAGGTTTTGGTTGTGTGTTTTAATCTTCGTTCCAAAAGTAAGGTAAAGGTAAAGGTTCCCTTGCTCGAAAGCCAGTCGAATCCGACTCTAGGGTTGCGGTGCTCATCTCCATTTCAAAGCCGAAGAGCCAGCGCTGTCCGAAGACGTTTCCGTGGTCATGTGGCCGGCATGACTCAACACCAAGGCGCACGGAACGCTGTCACCTTCCCACCAAAGTGGTCCCTATTTATCTACTTGCAAATTCTTGCTTTCGAACTGCTAGGTTGGCAGGAGCTGGAACTAGAGACGGGAGCTCACTCCGCCATGCGGCACACTCGGGTCTCGAACTGCTGAACTACCGACCTTCCACAGCCTGCAGTTCAGCGTCTTAACCACTTGAGCCACCACAGCTCCAAAAGTAGGCAGCTTTAAAAGGGGATTTGACCAAATTCACGGAGGAGAGGTCTGTCAGTGGCTGAGGGTGAGCCCCTCCACATTCAGAGGCAGGAAGCAACATCAAGGGGAAGGGCTCGGCCTCCGTGCCCCGCTGTTGGCCCTCCAGGGGAACCGGTTGGACCACTGTTTGGGACAGGATGTGGGACTAGATGGACCACACTAGTCTGACCCAGCAGGGCTCTTCTGGTGCTCTTAGTGTGCTGTTGGTGCTTGTAAGCTGCTTTGTGGGTACCCATTACCCAAATACCCATGAATAAGATTATTCCGCTCTCGACGGTTTCTAAAAACGCTCCAACCCAACGGTGCTTCTCTGCAGACTCGATGCAGACTGCAGACGAGTTCCGAAGCAGCAGCAGGGTGTCCTGTGCCCCCCCCTTTCTCCCCCACCCCCAAAGGTTCTTGTAGAGCAGTCTTTGTTTTGCTTTGCAGACCTGGCCACTGAGATGTCCACCTGGGACGGGGTGATCGTGACCCCCTCGGAGAAGGCCTACGAGAAGCCACCCGAGAAGAAGGAGGGGGAAGAGGAGGAGGAGAATCAAGAGGAGCCTGCTGCCGAGCCGGAAGAAGAGAGCATGGAGACCCAGGAGTGACTTGCCAGGTGTGTGATCTCAGAGGTGGGGAGGCCTCTCTGCCGCTGTGGCTTTTCTTTTCCCACCGGCTTTCGGTAATACCGCGCTCGTCCCCATCACTTTGCATGTCTCATAGAATGTTAAGAGTTGGAAGGGACCTTGCAGGTCATCTAGTCAAACCCACCTGCACTCTGCAGGAGCACAGCCGGAAGAGAGCCCGACATACCTACAACATACCCAGAAGAGGGCCGCCCAGCTTCCGCTTGAAAGCGTCCAGCGAAGGAGCGCCCGCCCCCTCCCGAGGCAGACACCTCTTGGTCCTTTCTGGCCTGCTCATCCCACTGACATGTCCCCCGTCGTCGTCCGCCATTCCTCCAGGCCAACTTAATCTTTGTCCCCCCCAGAACTGCCAGCTCAGGGACAAGAGCCAAGGATCCCTCCCCAGCCCACTCACAAACGGCCGGGGTCCAATCCCCCAATTCAGGCTCGCCCAGCCTCAGAGAGCCGGTGCCGCTCACAGAGCCTTAAACAGAGTCTTCGTTCAGCGACGCGGGGAACGGGGCAGGGGAACAGAGGAGTGGGTCTGAGGGCTGTCTGCTTCTGTCTTGCAGCTGGGTTTCTCCTCGTGCCCCCGTCGTGGACGGCCGAACCAGTTTGAAGCTGCAGGACAGGACCAAAACCGGTGTCCTTCCCGTGTTTTGTTTAATTGTGTTGTTTTTATAGCCTTTGCCATTAAAAAAGAGTTCCTCCCCCCCCTTTTAAACGCCGCTGTCTGTGTCTCAGTCGCTGTCTTCATGCTTCATTCAGAACCTCCTTGACAAGGTGTCACGGCTCAGGTGGGGGTGTCACCTGAGGCTGCCACCACTCTGGTTCCAGGCTCCCCTGAGAAGGCCCAGAGCACCCTCCCAAGACCTTCAGGCCTCCCTTTTGGCCGAATAACAGGCGTGAGGACCAGGCAGAGTGAAACAAGGGAAAGGTTTTATTTTATAGGAGGTCAAACAAACAAGGTGCAGAATAATAACAGTAAGTGGGTGAAAAGTCAAATGCTCTAACGCGTCTAAATATATACTGTCCCTAGCTCACTATTCCAAGTGACACTAGACTACTCACTCTTCCCTCAGGATGAGGGTTTCTTCCCTGCAGCAGCCTTCCTTCTGGTTCTGCCCTCTGGGAAGAAAGAACAGCTTTTCCTGCTGCTCCAGATCTTTTATTCCAAGCCCCCTCCTCTTTTCCTGTTGGTCAATTTTGGCTCCAAAACCTCTCAGGGGCTTCTGGGAGCTGTAAGCCCAGTCCCACCTACTGCTAGCCAGGCTTCCTGGGCCTAGTAGGCCTCTGGGGGCACAGCCCAGATCATGACGACACAAGGGTTTGAAACTCATCACAGAAAACGGCAAACATATTTAAAGGCAAGATACTGTTTTGTTTTTTTCTAAATCGCCATTGTATCGCTTATCAGATGCCACCCAGTGGCACTAGTGCAGTCAAGTCTTCCACATGCCCCACAGCCAGAGGAAAGAGAGACTGACTGGCACATTGCGATGCGCCGAAAGGTACTACAGTGCTGTAAAAAGTCCTTGGGCAGCAGAGCGAACCACTCTCAAGGTAGCTCACTGTGAGAGGGTAGAAAGAACCTGCCCTATGTCCAGTGTTCCCTCTAAGCTGTGGAGTCTTGTGAGCAGAAATTCTACTTTGTGAGCTATTAGCATTAAAGTTGTGAGTGAGCAGTTTGGCTACTACATAAATCAGTTTGCTCGGGAGCCCTCCTTCCTGAGCTAAGACAAAAATGTCTGAGCTGGAGGCTACAAAACTGTGAGCTGGCTCACGCTAACTCAGCTTAGAGGGAACACTGCCTACGTCCGTCCTCGTTTTGGGCTCAACAGAGAAAAATACACCTCCTGGGAGTTCCCCCCCTAAGCTAGCAACTTTCAGCTTCTTTCCTCCGCATCTAATCATGCCTAAGGTCAGAGAGCTGGCAAAAAGGAAACTGGTCCATTTGAAATGCGGTGTTGGAGGAGAATTTTTATGGCTACCGTGGACCGCCAAAAAGACAAAATAATAAGTGGGTTTCAGGTCCGATCAAGCCTGGACTTTCCTCTAGACACTAAAATGACTAAGCTGAGGCTGTTGCATTTTGGTCACATGATGAGAAGACACCATTGTGGAAAAGACAGCAATGCGAGGAAAAGCGGAAGGCAGCCGGGAAAGGCAAAGACCCAAGAGGAGACGGATGGACTTGAGAGCCAGTTTAGTGTAGTGGTTAAGTGCGCGGACTCTAATCTGGGAGAACCGGGTTTGATTCCCCACTCCTCCACTTGCACCTGGCTGGATGACCTTGGGCAAGCCTTAGCTCTGATAAGAGCTGTCCTTGAAAAAGAGCAGTTTCTGTCAAGAGCTCTCCGCCCCCACCTGCCTCACAGGGTGTCTGTTGTGGGGAGGGGAAGAGAAAGGAGTTTGTAAGCCGCTCTGAGACTCTTCTGGGTAGTGAAGGGCGGGGTGTAAATCCAATCGCTTCTTGGTCAAGGGAGCCAGGCAGGGCCTGCCATTTGCAAGACCTGAGCAAGGCAGATCATGAGAGCCTGTGAACCTGGGCAGATCACGAGAGGGAGGGGAGGGAGGGCTGCCTCAGGGCTTTGTTCCCGTGCCCCTTTCTTGCACACCCAGGGAAATGCCGGTCGCCACTTTGGGGTCAGGAAGCACTTTTTCTCCAGGCCACTTTGGCCAGAGATCCTAGAGGTTTTTTTACATCTTCTGGGTATGGAACAGGGGTACCTGGGGG